GCGATTATAAGAAGGCATCGAAGCAATCAGCAAGCAACCGTCAATGGGTTCAGTTTGGTAAGCAGGTATGTAATCAAAATGGCAGAGCACACTGTAATTTTATTCTATTTCAAGCGTTTTATCATTATCCTCCAATTCACCATACAAAAGTCTTCAAACACTTTACATGTCGCCTAGCTTGCTTCTTGAGGATTCTTTAGATAATAATAAGTGATATAGAAGTTTTTCAATCTCGAAGCGGTTTCGAACCGACATCTCACCGTCTCATAATAGTGATAGCTGGACAAGAGCCCCGGTACTGCAATAGATTAGCACGCGCCCCGAATATGGGGAGTTGTGGGTTCGATTCCTAGTCGAAGTTAGAGATTTTGCAAATCAATCAACATTATCGGTTATACATTCATCGCACCACCGGTTGAAGCTAAATAGGAAGATGTGTGAGTTCGTTTTCTTATGGATGCCGCAGAGCGTTGGTAAGGCAAGTCTTCTTATGTTCTTGGAGTAACTTGAGCTAGGGCGTGACTAAAGCGTTCAGCTGATTGATTGCAGAAGATTGTGGGAAGAAGGAATCAAACCATCGCTTATCGCTCGCTTTCTGGTACAATTCGTTACTAGCCACTGCGCCAAGCCTCTAATGCTAGTATAAAGTCGTTTGAAAAAATAGCTGTGGATTGAATATATCCAATAGTCGTCATTTTAACTTAGGTTAATAACAATATGTGTTTATCAGAGCATACTAGCTGACAGTTGGTAGCTGACTTTTTTGATACGTTATCAGAGAGGCTGATAGCAGAGCAAGGACCTTGATAGTGTAGTGGTAGCACGCTTTTAGGTATAGGGTAAAGCGCGAGTTCAACTCGCAGCTGAACTCTCTCAGGATTTGGATATCATCAAAACTTGCCAGTTTGAGCAAAGTTTCAGTTTAATGAGATTTATCTGTGTTGCTGGTGGAGTAATTGTGTACCTCTTATGTTGTTTTGTTGAGAAGAAAACTTTTTGGTGAGGAATTGTGTAGCCGCATTATCGTGCACGGTCACGGAAATCTCCGCGTACATTCTCATGGAGTGTTATAATGTGTTCTTATAGCCTCATAATATTAAGATGCTTCTTTTCCGATTATAAGCGTTCATGTTACCCACTTGGGATGCCATTGTGACATGTTTAATTATGTTCTTATTCAGATCGGGTCCAGAAAAATTAACCAACCATTGCAATCGCTGTTACAAGCGTGAGGGTCGGTTTTTCCAACCATGGTCCGACTACGCCACAAAGACAAACTGCGATCTGAAAACGTACGTGTGAATAACTAAAATGTAAGTGAGGGTGCTACTGATGAGTCCCAATAGGACGAAATAGGCGCCTATATAGCACTAGACCTATGGCTCAAAATATGTCATATCCTTATCAGATTAAATCATTATGAGCGGGTCTGTAAAAAAGCAGTCGATAGCACAAGTATAGTTCATTTTAAAAGCCGTAAGCTCGACTGCCGGTCACCACAAAGTCAGGTAATACCATCATCCTACTTTGGGTGCTTAATTTTACTCGGCGTCGGTTACTTTAGAGGATTATTTCACCTCAAGGGATCGACGGAACCGAGGGAAGGTGCTACTAATGAGTCCCAATAGGACGAAATAGGCGCCTATATAGCACTAGACCTATGGCTCAAAATATGTCATATCCTTATCAGATTAAAATGTAAGTGTTAAGTAAAAACCATTTTTGTTAACTAGTATTCAAACGTACTATTAGTTGTATGTGGATAAAGCATTGAAGATGTCGTTATTCATCTTTTCAGAAGACTTAGCATTTCCCTATACCTTATCAACTCATGTTCCACATGTGGAAAACGAAAATAACGGGTCAAACGAAAGCATGTGAATTGGCTTTACTTTTGTTGACAAATTTCAGACCAACATTTTTCAGTCTGATATTAATTGTAGGATTTCTCAATATGTTCGATTGTTTTGTAAAAAAAGATGTAACTTTGTCATAACAGATTATGTGAGTGAAAGTCTTATGTGATTCACCACTGCAGTTTTAGTAGAACTCATCGGAATCTAAATATTATGTGAAGGAAACGATACTTGTTTTGGCAGCTCTTCTCACGAATATCATCAATAATCTACAGCGGAACACGGATTAGCCGATTATATACTGAGAAGAGCAGACGACAGATGTACAAGAAGACCAATAGAGTGGATTCCACACAATGTACGCGTCTTCTAGGACAAGCAAATGCACGTTAGGCGGACGTGTCCGCTGGAAGAATTGAGGAGCTGTATTCGCAGCTACCGATATTTTCAGATCACGGTATGATATTTACAGAAGCCGCCATGCTCAAATTAGACCACCGTCATGGACGATTGTTGCGCAGCAAAGAGACGAATGGAATATGTGGTGTCCGTACCGTTAGTGAAAACACGTTCAAGTATCAAGTAAGTATCACACGAGTAACTTCTATTTTTCTTAATGCACATACTGATGAATAGTAGTGATGTTCTTTGCAGATCATAAAATAAGTTGTTGCATAGACAGTAAGTCATAGTAGCAGATTCGAGTTTCACACAGTAGCCGGCCGGTTACACTATCCCAGACAATTAGCCGTTGTGTTCGTACGAGCAGCAACTGTTTCGCACCACAAGAATTGCTCGACTTGTCTTAGCTTTTTATTTTAGGTACTTTTCCCTTTGACGGCACGGGAAAAAAGGAGCGGTTTCTCTCATTGATCACAATTTTTTCATAAGAGAGTTAGTAAGTCAGAAGTTTAGATATCTGGTTAGGCGCTACACAGCAATTTTTTAAACAAGTCTTTTCATAACGCTTCAACAAAACGGAAATGTTGTGTTTCACACTGGCATAATTCTCGCTGGACAGGCTCTCAATAGTCATCCGATAGCAGAAGATTCAATGAGTCTAGTGCTCTGCTCATTTTCTGCAAAGATCGTTTCTTGGCAACTTAGCAGGTAAAATAGGATTGATCCACAAACGCGGGCATATTTTCTACCTAATCTACGGCCTGAGAGGAAAAGGACAGCACGTGCTATGAACACGGTGATCGATCGATGGCGCTGAGACGGTTCACATGTGAAGTGCAATTTCTGTTATCCAAATAAGAATTCGTTCTTCGTTTCGAAAGAAAGTCCACATTGAGCGCATGACTAAAATGCTGAAAGATTTTCTCTACACGTTTATATGCTTTTCCTGTCCAGCGATGTAATGGTGAAAACGCGTGGCTAGCGTGAAACATACTTTTGAGTTTTACAACCTTATAAAAAAGCTTTTCCAAAAACGGCCATTCGACGCACTACCAGAAATTTAAGCTTTCGAATTATTACCTTCAACTTCCAAAAGTAATTGTTCTCTCCAAAATCTGATAACTTACTAAGATTAGTTGGGAGATGAATTTCCAATCGAAGATGATTTTTTGCACAATAAACGTGTCCACGGCAATGTTAATGGCTGCCAAAGCGCAAATAATGATGAAAACGACCTGAAATAGGTTAATCTACCGCTTGTGATTCACTTTGGCAGTCACGCTTTCGATGTTTGTAAATTAGGGGGAAAACGTGTTCGCATTCAACATACCCTGGCTGGACAGCAGAAACATACTGTTGGATCCTAAATGAACGCACTGATTATGGAATGACGAGTAGATAATGACATGATATCCATAAGAAAAACTCTTCATTATCTGAAGGGCCTACTTGCTAGAGATGCGATGTAATATTAACATTGTCATGGGTTCAGTTTCGCATCGGGCGTACCACTCTTTCGCGGTGTAGCAATTAATAGTTAACTTGTTTAGAAAAATCCCCTCCAAGCTGAAGCGTCAACGATTAGTTTTATCGAAGGCCTGGAAGTGTCCAGCAAGATCTACTTCAATATTTTACAAAAAACCGACGTGACAAAGGTTTATGGTCGTCTAGTGTCCTCCAACTAACAACCGATCCGTCATTGAATTCTGAACACGTTTTCGATAATGGATGCTACGAAGATGACTCGCGATAGAGTAGAGATGCTGGGAGCCGCAATCTGTGTGAAAGTGAGTGACTAAACATGGACCTTTTTGCTCGCTATGTACAGTACCAGAGATTGCACAGTACAGCGGGAGTGATGCTGTATAGAACGACAAGCAGGAAAGATGCTGAATCGGGAAATTGCTATTTGAGTTGTAAAAGGAGCACTTCACCTAAAGCAAACGAAGCCTGGCCATAGAACTCCACATAGAGTCTCCTGTTCAATGGTATTCGTAAGAACCATGAATGCGAAAAATCGAATTAGATACAACTGTTGAAATCCGCATAGTAGATGCTAAGATGAGTCGTGAACAAAAAAAAAAGATACTTTCTTGCATAACACTCCTTTTAAGTCTATTAGCAAATTGATGTTTGCCTTCAGTACACTGGGTCACTGCTAAACTGTTTACGGCCCTTTGTATCCATTTCCATTCAATACTTGTTTAAGGCGCCTATCAAACACAAGAATTGGCGAGCTGTAAAATTTCTGTAACAGTACGATATTTATCACCACCCAAGAGATTTTATGCATTGCCTTTCACTGCTAAGTCTTGTATCGTGGCAGATTAATTCGCGGTTGCTTCTCATGCTCTCAGCCACGCGTCGTTTGTTAAGGGGTCGGATTTGATTTGTTTGTAATCCACAAGCTTGTAGCTGCCTTGTGACATCGAAAAGTTCACTGCTACTACAATAACAGCTTTTGGAATGGCAACGAAGAATTGCTGACCATCGGACTTGATAGATTTTCTGCAGAACTTGTTAGAAATGCAGAACATTTGACTAACTGTACCGCAAAGATAGCACAGTTGTTAGTGGCGCAGTAAGGCCAGGAAACAAGTCTGGTTCGTTTCTTTCTCTCAACACTATCCTGCAATCAACACGTGATACCCCTAAGTTGGCTATCTCTATGATTGCAAGGACTATCGATTCGGCCAGCGTTCTGCGATAATTGTGAAGAATGCGAAATCTTCAAGCAAAACGTGCGTCAAGTGGGATTCGAACCCACATTTCACCCTATCCGGGGGTGCGAGCTGAACCGTTGCACCACATATGCCCGTTTTGACACCACTTCTTCTACGCTACAACACGCCTACCTGTCAGCAGTCAACCGTCAGCAGTTTGGCGTGGGTAGTCCCTATCGACACTGAACCCACTTATGCTGGCAGATATGGGATAGATGATTAAGCAGAATTCATTTTATTTTATCGCCTTTAGCGGTGGTATGATGGTATAATATGTCCAATGATGTGGAGTGGAGGTAGAGGAATTTTTACACACCACTCCACGTCGTTGGTTATAGTATAACTCGTAAAATACTCAAAGATCTTTGCGCTGAATGAATGTGAGGAAACGAATCGAATGCAAGAAGTGCTGAGATCTCAGTTATGCTATGACAGGTCATATGAGTAAAGCTATAAATTTACCACCATACCAGCGAAAATTTTTTTCTCCTCAAACTTAACGGCGACTGACCACGATTGCTAGGGAATCAGTCAATCATAATGGTAACTAGTAGGAGATAGAAGATACACACCCCTTCCTTGCCGGCCTTCATGCGATCTTCATGCTGTGCTTCAATCTCCACAGTAAAATTCTCATTACCACAGTCGGCGTGTTCATTTGAGCGTCTCCTGAACATAGAAACATGAGGGCTGCAGGCCAGCTCTGGAAGGCGTTGAATCCTATAGTAGAACCACATCTGAAGCGATATCTTCTTACTAATACGATGAAAACTTTCCGCATACCATGTAGCCAACATGACGACGTGAGTGCGTATGTACAAATGAACAACACGTGTAATGGTTACTTGCTGGTCAACGTTATCGCTATCATTATCACAATGTATCAAATGTATTTCGTATTAGTGTTATAGCATTTCATTTTGCTGCGCGACCATAGAACTAGCTCGGTTGGCGCGTCGGACGAATTTGCTTGTTATCACCAAGAAATTGAAGTTTCTGCCTCTTTTTTTTATTGCTTTTCAGTCATCGACTTGCAATTTATCGCCATAAAGCGAAAGAAAGTTAACCCCTAAGGGACGGCCATAGAAAATCGATGCGCGCAGCGTGAATTGCGTAGCGGTGCGCAATTTTCGTCTTGGTCAGAGTTTTTTGATACAGAACAATTTTGCTCGTATGCTTTTGGAGCATGTGTAACTCTTCTGTGTAAAACAGACCTTTAGTGCACTTTGCAATCATAGTGCTTTTGGCGTTCAATCGAATGTAAGAAGTTCTACAAAAATATTCCGATATGAATCTTTGAGTCTTGAATGATTTTCATTATGTACACTGCCCAAAAACCGTTAAAACTATTGTAAATCAAAAAACAATGGTAACTAGTCAATAATGACCATGCGTACTGAATGCGACACTAGTTCATCGATAACACTCAGTAGTTTTAATTATTAGTACATCACAGAGTTGGATTCTTTGTAGAAACATGGGAGAGCATTTCATTCTACCGTTCTAAGTGTTCTTAGTTGTTATATATCCATTTATCCAAACTATGAGCATTATTCGTCGCTGCAGCCTTCGCCGCTGTATATGCGACTTATTTTGCATATTCCATATATTTTCTTAATTGTTTGCCTCAAAGCAATTCCATTTACTTCTCTTATGTTCCAAGAACTCAAAATAAGCCCACTATGGCCACATAAAGATGGCTGTAGCCTTATATCAGTAGAACACAAAACTTAGTAGTCTTCTGCTTCCCAAGGGTTTCCTTCTCCACGCTCATCACTTGCATGCATACACTATGCTGAGTGTTATGAATCATTCATGGTCCGCATTTGCGAAGACGAGTGGAATATTTTGCATATGGAAAAACTCTGTTCAATATACCACAAATGTGTTCAAAAAACTAGTCAGTATTGCATAATTCTCATTTGTTCGCTGCTGTCAATTCAATCCCTCGAGAGTGTGCCTTCGAAAGTGATCGACTGAGGAAATGTGAGTCAATTTGGCCTTCCTAAGCTTTGATAAGGAACACTACCGCACTTTCTGCAAATATTGCTAGATATCGTGGCGCACTTTAAGTAGGATGAAAGATCACCTGGCGTTGTTGAACGCGCTGTCGAAAGGTCGAGTCGATGCTATGAGTATCCGTATCTCTCAAATGAGAGAAAGGATCCAAAGTTCCGACCTACGCCAACGACCGATAATCAAAGGCGCTGTTCTACACTCCATAATATCGAAAATAAGGTGGGCCGGACATGTCATACGCTTCAACGACAACCGATGGACGAGAGCCGTTACCGACTGGATTCCTCGGGATATCAAGCGCTATACAGAAAGACCACCGACCCGTTGGTCCGATTTCTTCACGCAAAGTATAGAAGAAAGACACGATGCTCCACCGAATCCCCAGAGCGACTAAGGCCCACTGGGCTACTTTGGCAGGCGATAGGGAAAAGTGGAAGTGTTTCTGGTGCCCGCTTGAGTCACTCGACGATCATCGAGGCGACAGGTGATACAGGTGATTGTGCCGCATTACACGAAGAGGACAATGATAAAGAGACAACTGATAAATGGTCGTAAAAGGTGTTGTCACCCAAAATCCTACCTTACACTTTAGTGACAATAGGAGGTGTTCGAGTAAACGTGATGCTCAGGTCACAAGAAACCAATTGTCTTCTAGGTACTATATGTGTCCGACTCTGAGAGCTGAAAGACGCTCTCTTTCCTGGCATTATGCAAACTGCAGGTCAGAAACTTGTGCCTGCAAAGAAGTATCCTTAGTACTGCTTCTCTATCGGCATCTATATTCAAAAAAACTTTTTATTACTCTTCGACGTTGCAGTAGATATTCGACAGCTTGAATTTCAAGAATCTGAAGGGTGTATTATTATGAAGTTTTCACTTTATATTGTAAAAGTGAAAATAAAATTTTAATTACCACTCAAACATCTTGCTGGACGTAACTTTTCATTAAGGCTCCAAATAGCTATTTGATAGCACAGATCTCGATAAAAAACTTTTTGATGTGCTGTTATAGCTGGAAGAACATTGGGTGTCGAACTCGACGCACATCTCACGCCACATATGAATTGCGCTACGCGAACTACAAAGCCTAAGTCTAAGTCTAAACCTAAGCTTAAACCTAACTCTAAGCCTAAGCCGCGCCGAATGCAAAACTCAATGTCCTTTTACCTGCAACAACGCACTAAGAAGTCTTTCAAAAAACCAGACATCTCAAAATCGTTTATATTTGCGCTATCGGAAGGGCATAAAGGAAGGCATATCAAAATCTGACAGAGAAGCTGTGACCAGCGAAAGGTACTCAAATGTGCGATACAATTTTATTCCTGTCGCTACAGCTTGCTGAAAGGTTTATTTTGAAAAGGTAGGCACCTCATTGAAATCCCCAGGATTTCACCTATCGACTGGTTACCAAAAGTTGATGAACTGATGCCAGAGTTGCGAAATCCATCCACATACCGGTGCAAGGTATGCGCCCCGCTCATGAAGTGAAATTTTAGCTTCAGTATTACGGCGCAATAATGAATTTTTTATAGAACCAAAATTACTGTTAAATTTGCCAGATCGAATAACTACTGAATTTTTTGAGAAAAACTTTGCTCAGCGAAAAATGTTTAAGTATGAAATAAAATTTTCCACACACTGCTACAACGCAGTGTAAAGGCCTTCAAAAAACAGAATACATCTCTCAAATTACTGAGATTTAAGCTACCGATTGACTACTACGATGCCTAGGAAGAGCGGGAAATTTGATTTTTTTCCTTATGGGTGCCGATAGTTGTACTGTATTCTCGCAATGATGATTGCCTGAAGAAATCCACATCAATCTTCGTCAATTTTTCTCGTATTTTTATCGTAACGAAAAACGTCCTGGTTTACATGAGAGTCGTTAGAAGCTTTATAATTTGCCAATAATGATGATATGTACTTAATTAGAGATAAGCAACTAAGTTAACATTTACCATTGGTGTCGAGTGTTCTCTTATGAGCACGCTCAAATTCTAATATGCCTGATGATTATTTTTGAGCAACACATGTGGCCTGTTATGGGCACTTATACAATGCAATACACCTGCTTCGCTATTGTAGAGCCTCGTCAGTGGCACGGTGCTTTTTGTCTCAGTCGATCACTCTTTGGTGAAAACCCCCTCACGCGAAATGAATGGTATGATATCTCACGACCACCAGCTAAGAGCAATCAAGTAACAACACTGCCTGTTTGCTTGACGGCGCATGTAAATAATACGCCCGAGGTTATTTTATGTAAGGGAGTTTTCCCCAAGAGGGATCGGCTGAGACGAAACGTCTTCGCAGCCGACGAGGCTGCAAGGCCGATACGCGTGTATTGCACTGTATGAGTGCCCATAATAGACTACATGTATGGCTCAGAAATATTTACCAGGCATAGGTAATACAATTCGGGTGCGCATGGCGCAGCGGTTAGAAGTATCTTGCAGCATCCACGTGTTCGCTGGGCTAACCAAGCCTTCGATCGCTCTGCGGTCGGCAAATCGGTACCAAAAGAGTGTGCAGGGATTGCAGCACTGGATTTGATACATAGTTATGCTACTGCGAATTGCCATAAGAGCTAGATATGTATTCGGCCACCTCTACCATTATTTGATAAAGTCGAGTGCATAGCGCATCCTTGAAGAAGTGCTGAAAGTTTCGTTCGTAGTTCAAGTCAAGGTGGATACAACTAGCATACAAGCAAGTCTTACTCTTTCCAGATTCAATAAATTGATTCGATATCGCGTATGAATAGAGGTAATTTATCTTTTGAATCCATTTCATTTGCTTTTCACAACAATACTTACTATAGACGATTACTTCCGGTTGTGTGTATCATACATCTCACATCTGGCGATGCACGAAAAACTCTGAGTAGCTCAAAATAGCCCACAGGAGGAACTCCCATGGACTGAATGTAAACAGATTACATATGGAAAGTCGTAAATCTAAGAAATAAAGATTAATGAGAAACAAAGTACCGGCTGGAGAGCTCCACTAGTGTGCCGCTGTGCGACAGTGGTAGCAAAAGGCGAATGGAAAATGTCGCACACGGTTGGCAGACTCT